TTCGGAATAAACACCAAGTAAATTCTCATTGTATCATTTTTGATAACCCAGTTCTGGATTTCCCAAGATTATGTGCCACCAATTTTAGTCTTAAAAAGATGCTACAGTTAGCTCACATATTATATTTTCAGTGAGAAATAGAAGAACATGCCCTTATTCATTGCAGCTCACACTCAGTTATCCAAGGAAATCCTTCCATGAGTTCTCCTGTCAATATTTTTGTACATGTCTGCTTCTACATACATATGCAGTAAGTTGAGACCAAGGGCAACATTTTGGAAGAGTTCTTGTGTTCAAGGTTGGAGACTTTCCTCCTCTAAGTTGTCTCCCTACCTCTTTTGCAATCAGATAAAATAGCAGTAATGTAGGGGTTCACAGGAAAGACTGGGGGTGTGGCTCAGTAGTAAGGCACTGTCCTAGGATGTGCAAGGCCCTGGACTTCATTTCCAGCACTAAAGATAAACAAATAAATAATAGAATATGTCATTCAAAGTTGTTCTGTGTGTTAGAGCCATAAAAATAAATATAAACCAGTTTTAAAATGTTGCTGTTTCTCTGTTCCCCTTTTTTCTAATGGCTAACTGAGCACAGATGCTCAGCTGAGAAACTTAGTGTTAGGGGGTTCTGAATTTCAGTTTCCACCCTCACGTAAGCTGTGTGGTTCTCAGGTGAACTCTGGAAACTGTAAAAGAAATAAATAGAAGCCAACTCACAAGACAAGACAGGTTTGAATGATTTAACCAGCATAAAATGCTCTTCCTCACTCACCTACTCTCCACAAAGAACTGAAATGCAATAGGATCCCAGTCAGGAACATTCAGATCTATTAAGACCCTGAGATAGGAAGGAGCCGAGGATATAGGTCCACTAAAGTAAGGGGAACTTAGGAGGAAAGAGTCAAGAGTTCAGAGGGCTGGGAGTTTCCGGAGAAATGGAACTACGGGTGTCCCGGGCACTCAGTCACTACATAAAACAATCCTGATGGATCTGAATCTCCCCTCTTTGCCCCATGACCTCGGCTGACTTGATGACACTGTCTCATATGGCACTAACAGCTGCATTCAGGCTTTTCCATCCCAGGCAAAGTGAAGTTCAAAAAATACCAACTTCTAATACGAAGAAAGTGGAGACATCTGGTGCACCTTCCTCCATGACACAGACTTAGGGTACTCTCTAGAGCCCTGCACCCTTCCTCCATGACACCAGTCTTAGGGTACTCTGTTAGGGCCCTGAATCTCACACAAGAGCTTCCCACCCATTAGCACACAGAGAGGTGCTAATTAAATCATACTAACACTGTAGAAACTACAGGCTGGAACTTTATGATCACCCCCAATGTCATCTTTGATGCAGTCAACAAAGGGTGCCTTTGGGCCTTCTATGCTCAAAAGAAAATCCTGTCCTCACACAGCAGCCAGACTCCGCAGTTAATATGAAGTGGTAATTAAGACCACCTCTCTTCTTTATTCCTAAAATGTCTGCGATTAATATTAGTAAAATTTTATGAGGAGAAAACCCTAATCAGTTCCAGGAATGCAAATGATATGGAACATGACTTGGTCTACAGAGTACCCAGGTAACCTCATGGCTTGTTTACATTGTATATGAAGATGAAAAGACATGTTTATTCTGATTGCATTATTCAAAGTGTTCATACTTTACCCAGCTACAACTGTCATTCTATGCTTTGTCCCCTAGTCTGGCCATTATACCTCCAGTGAAAGGTGGGGCCTAAGTAAATTCTAACATTATGAAATGGGGGAACCTCCTGCTTGAAATCTTCCTATTAAAATTTAACCCAACCTCAGAAACACACTCACCCCTACAAGCACCTGAACGAGCCCCACTTTGAAACTTCAAGATCAATCTGACTGTGACCTGAAGCAGAGGACTTTAGTGGCCGCCCCTCCTGATTAAAAAGAATCAAGAAAACCCTAGACATAAGGGAGATGATGCCTTCCTGTCCCCAAGGAAACAAAATGGGAAAATTGAGCATTCCCGGTAAGTCCAGCCAGAAGAGGAAGCTAAAGCACAGCACAAAGATCAGAAGGCAGCCAATCAGAGGTGTACCTCGACCTAAACACAAAAGAATATGAAGGTAAAGGCACAGACTGGCATCCTCAGATAAATCACTTACTCTAGAAGGTGGTAACTTCTGATTTCTTTTTATTAGGGCTGTACTCAGACTGGAAGAGTTCCCAGGAAAGACTATTATGGACACACAAGGGTTATTCATGAAATTAGTTCTGATGGAAGAATAATTATCTTCTCTTCCATAAATTCTAAACACGACAAATTGCTTCTTTATAAATTTGTTTCTTGTACATATTACACAAATCAACGTCCTATTGAAATTTAAAGGACAGTTATATTAGTAGTCGCTCACCTGGTCTTGTACCATTTTCGTGTATTGTCAAGTTTCTCACAGCAAATTTCCTAATGAGCAGTTTTGTTTTCAAGCGCCCTAAGGCCAGTTGCTCAGTCCAAGCATAAACTTAAGTTTAAAGAAAAAAAAAAGTTCAAAGCAGCAAGAAAATTTAAACAGAATTATAAGGACTCTAGTGTGCACCGCATCTCCTCAAGTACCTGCCAGGTGTGTGTGTGTGTGTGTGTGTGTGTGTGAGAGAGAGAGAGAGAGAGAGAGAGAGAGATACACACACACACACAGAGAGAGAGAGATTCCCAGAGTGCAGAAAAATATTCACTTCATTAATTATATTGAAGGCTTTCACATGTGTTCAGCTCAGTCTAATAGGGTATTTTCATCTAGCATGTTTTGAACTGTATAACTTTCTAAAAAGGTTCTCAGTTTAAAAGCATAATGAGCATAAGTCTTGTTTGAATACAATAAAATACACAGTTAATAACCTAACCATGTGTGTAAAGGCATAGGAACACCCTCCATAACAACTGATTTAAAAGTAAAACCTTTTCACTTTTATCTACTCCAGGACTGACTTATCAATGTCCTCACCCAAATGAAGTATAATTTATAAAACTGAAGAAAAGTAATAGTCGCATTCTAAGCTAATGCATTTATTCACTTTTATCAAAAGAGGAATATTTGTAATAGAATTGTATGAAATAATTATACCTTGAAGAATAAAAGAACCCAGAAAATGTCTTCTTGGGGGGGCAGTTTGTATTTTAGTGATTATACAAGTATGTGTTACACAAGGAGAATTACGGAAAGAGGACAGCCTAGTGAACCATCTGCAGATGTTATGACTAAAGCCAATGAATAACCAAACACACTTGGAAATGGGTACGCTTTCTGTTGTTGTTGTTTTGTTTTACACATTAAAACAGGCACAAGTCTTAACTTTCCGTTTGTCCATGCAGATTCTCTTAGTCCAAAATACACTTTGTGTGGTGAGCTTTGTAGAGTGGAGAGAGCATGATGGGACCATTTCCACCTAGTCACTCAAGGGAATGTGTCACAGCGTGACATTACGAGACAGCCCGCCTTCCTTTTTATAATATCTGCAGATCATTGGTTTATGGTGAACTTCAAAGACTTTTTGAATGGTATTATGATGAGGCATCTTAAGAGTGGTTCCATCACATTTTAAGTGTCTGCTGATGCCTACCAAGACACCTCTGGGTCGCCCCTGAAAGCAGAAGCACCACAGAAACACAGCCAGAATAACTTGGTTTGGTTTGTTTTAAAACCCATTTTAGTTCATTTATGAATAAAAGGCAGAGAAGGCACCCTTCCACCTGAGTGTGTGTCATTACTTAAATAGCAAGGTTATTTAGAGACACTTGAGGGCTAATTGGTTAAATACTAACTACAGATCTGAACTTTAAAACACAGCTAATTCAAGCATTAGAGAAACCTGCTCCTTCAACCCTGCTCAAAAGTGTTAAAATAAAACAACCAGAAGTCATAATTACTTCCTCAATGGCTTTTATACTTCACTGGCTATGACAGGGTACACCACTGAGAATCATCACATACAATGTGGTTAGGGGCTGCACTCACACACAGAATATTAATTCCCCAAAGAGGAGCAGAGTCACCTTAAACAAATGCTGTATACTTGAAAATATATGTTGGGATTTATTTCTAATTTTTGCGTCATTAGTTTCAGCTACAACACACACTCACAAATAAGATGCCAACTCTTTCCAGCTCATGGATAAGACCCAGAGTGACAGGCCCTGTCACTCCTTCACACAGGCGTTACTGTGGGCACTTCCTCTTTGGTAGCACACACAACCAACATGAATTATTTTAAAGGTTCAACTTAAAATCTGTTTTAAAAAAAGACAAAAACAAACGTCAACCTTAATTGTGTTCTACCACACACCCCAAAATATTAAATAAGGCAAATATTGGTTTTTAAACTTCTTGTGGTCTGAGAGCATAACACTTTGGGAGAAACTTTCTTGACAATATTATCTTGCATGTTTGTCCCAAACATTTAAAGCTGTAAAATACATGAAACTTTTTTCCAGTAACCTATAATTGGATTTTCTCTTTAATTAACATCTATTTGGCAAAGTACTTAGTTTTAATGGGGAGACTTGGGTTCCAGTTATCATGTAAATAAGCCCTGAATAAATTAATCTCAGTCCTATTTTTTTCCTTAGGAAATTACAGGAACATCATCACCAGCTTTGATTTATTATGAACTCGTTTGTCATTGGTATAAATATTAACGGTATCATTTCCATCCCAACCTACCCAGCCCCTTCCCCCACTCCACCCCTACCATCCGGTTCTCCCCAGCCCTTGACACTATGATTTGATGGCTCTTTTTGTTTGCCTAAAATCACTGTATCTCCAGGAAACTTTTAAAATAAGCATCAACATAGAAAAAAAAAAGAAAGAAAGAAAGAAAGAAAAGAAAAAGGGTTAAGACCCAATCTAGCAAATCTAGAAATGACGTCGTGGGTTGCTCAGCCAGAACCAATCCTGGTGTGTGGATTTAGATTGGGAAAATTACAGGAAGGTCATCGGCAACACTGGAAAAGCTTCAGCTCGAATTTCTCACCTTCTGCGCTGCTTTGGAAGGACTCTTGTTTTTGCTGCCTTTGGGTCTTCCCCTGGGTCTCTTAGGAGAGGGCTCACAGGTCGGCTCCTAAGGGTAGGGAGGAAAGAAAAGTTGTTGTGGCTAAAACCGGCTGAAAGAGACTGACCCTGGCTCTGATTCTGCTTTCTGCATGTGCGGCTTAACCAGCCTGCTGGAAGTCATCAGTTCATGCATAGTTGGATGATGGTGGCATAGCGTTTGCAAAAGGGGGTGGGGGGACGGTGGCGGTATAACCATAGTTCGAATCCCAGTGTTCAAAGAGGAAACTGTTTTACATGTGAAAAAAACCGGACAATATTCTAAAATCAAAATGATGGCAAAGCCTGGAAAAGTTGCATGTTCTGGAAAGTCACGTGTTTTAAGGTACAGAGTTTACATGGCCACGCACTTGGCAACTCACAGAAATAATAAACATTTTATAGGACTCCACTACCCATTCTACTGGGATTTCAAACAACAGAAACAGAACCCAGCATCATAGCTAGCTGGAAAGATAGCCAGATAGAAGGAAAGGATGGCGTGTAATCACTTCTATAGACCTGTGTTTCTTGTGGTTTAGGACTGAACCCACACATTCTGAGTGCAATATTGGAGCGATTATCCAAACTGTTCAGATCAGAATAATTCCATACCTCCTAAAAATTTCCAAATAATTATGGCAAATCTGAGGTGGGAGGTTTTGCTTGAATTATCTAGATAATTGCTTCAATTCTCCACTTCCTTTTGGAGAGACAGGCATAGTCTCCCGTCGAAATTTAAATATCTTTTTACAAAAATAAACATGTTGTCTCCAAAATTTTTTTAAAAAAGAAAGTCTTTGTGGGGATGGGCTGGAAAGAAAAGGGGGGAGATGAGAGGGGAATGTAAGTATCTGGGAAGGAGCAATTGAACCAGCCAGGTCACCAGGTGTATCAACGCTTTTCTTTATTGGGTGCCAGGCTAAGTAGCCAATACTCAAGCAGTTAAGAAAACGTGATGATTGATACTCCGGGGACGCTGAACATCTCTCCGGGATGAATCATCTCTCATTTCATTCAGATTGGGTGCTTAAACGAAACTAATTACAAATCGTGAAAGTTCCCAATGGAAGTTCGCGTGGGGGGAAAGTTTCTTGGAAACGTCCATTAAATACTCGCGCCAGTGGGCACTTAGAGCAAACACATCGGAAACACATTTTTCTTTGTGAGCGCGGCCTTCACTCAAAGGTAAAAGCTCCCAGTCACCTCCGGATCCCCTAGCGTTTTCTTTCAGACTTTTTTTTTTTAAATTGGGGGGAGGTGCGATTAGCAGAATTCGTTAAAGCTGGGTGACTGGTGGAAAGCAGGAGGGTAGAGCGGAGACTTCCTTGGAGGTGTAAAACAGGATCCAAATGCACAGTAAAGTGTCGCTAAGGGCAGAGCGGGAAAACTCGGAGGCCTCTAGATTGGCTTGTTTCCTTTGATGATTTCAAAACGGTATACCCCTCGTTTTTTCTAAAACACCCTGACAATCATTTTTCGATTTCCTACCTAGCGCCCGGGGGCAATCTGGAACTTTAGGATTATTTCCCAACCCTTCTTTTTGCCCGAGGGAAGAGATTTAAGGTAAAAGAAGAAAAGAGAAGTTTAAAAGGCCAGGAAGCGGAGTTTAACTGGGCGCTGCGCACAGCTCTGCAATAGCCGGCTGCACGCTTAATTGGTTGCATCCGCAGACAAAACCCTCCACTCCGCGGGGTCCTGGGTGCCCTTCAACCGTCCCCTCCCAGCCCCCAGCCATTCACCCAGAAGGACACTAAACTTCAGCTGCTCTGAAGCGCCCGAGCGAGGAGCCAGGACTTGGCTCTAGGCGGGGAAGCAACCGTAGCTACCGTGCAACTCTCTAGGACACTCCTTCCAAAGCTCCTTGGGAGAAGCGCGTTTCCCGGTGGCGCGGGGATCTGAGATTCCCGGGCTCCCTTCCCCGCCTGCTCCTGCGGTTACAGCTCCGCAAGCATTTAAAGACCCCAAGCAGGCAGTCGGCTCACGTTCTTTGTCGGGAGGGTGCGAGCCTTGAGCCTTGGAGTGTGGGGAGGGCACCGAGGGGGCGGCCGTAGTGCGCCAGCCTCCTGCGGTCAGGCAGCCCGGAGAATCTGCAGAAAGCCGCGGAGCCTCCGACCCACCGAGTCCCGACCCTCCTGAACGCCCCAGTCCCCGGCAAGCCCTCTCAATGAACGGTTGCAAAGCGGCTGACAAAGCAATGCTTTTTAATCTGTGGGACCCCAGAAACTCACTGTCCCCTAACCACGCCGCGCCGCTCCGGGACTGCGCACAATAGCGAAAGTCCCAGTACGCGCCTCGCGCGACCCCACCTCCCGCCGGGTGACTGAGGAGGCTAGAGGACCCCCGCCTCCTGCAGCCGTGGGGCGCGGGCAACCGGGAGCGTCCACTGCGCACTCGCCGGTGGGGAAATCGGTCTCCCGCCCACCTACACCCCGGGGCTGGTGGGCAACCTTGCACCGCCCTGGTCGCTGCGCTCCCGCGCTCCGGTCGCCCGGCTTGTCGCGGGGCCCCGGGGCAGAGGCGTCGCGGGTGGGCTGAGTGGTCCCTCCGCGCCGGCGTACTGACTTGCTGCTGCTTCCTGGGTCGGCCGCGTCCTCGCTTCTGTGGCGCCGGGGCGGCAGGTTGTCCCTGGGCTGAAGTGGACGGCTGCCCGGCGCCTTCACCGCGTGCGCTCATCCTGCCTCCCGCCGCCGCTACCGCTGCCTCCGCCGCTACCGCCGCTGCAGCCGCTCGCCCTCCGCCGCCCCGGATCCGCCCAGCACCTTTCGGGAGACGGGATGGAGAGGGCTGGAGAAGGCAGGGGCGACGAGAGCTGGCGGAGCTGGCGGAGCTGGCGCGCGCCGAGGGCTGCTGCTTAGGCTGCCGCTGCTGCCACCATCAACACCGGACGTCCAGCGGCTGCCAAAAAAGAGAGAAAGGGGAGGAGGAGGAGAGGAGGAGGAGGCGCTGCGGGCGGTGGGTGGCGGAGGTGGAGGTGGAGGTGGAGGTAGTGAGAGGAGGCGGGAAACGAGGGAGAGGGAGAGTTGAAGGTGGTGAGGGCTCCTCTCTCCGCTAAGGATCGGGAGTTACGGGCACTCTGAACGCTGGCAGCGGCTTGGAAAGGGAGACTTGTAGTGAATTGTGTCTCTTGCAATATTAGGCGGGGAAAGAATTCCTGAGAGAGAGAGAGAGAGAGAGAGAGAGAGAGAGAGAGAGAGAGAGAG